TCACAAGCTAATCATATTTCACGTTTCATTTGATAATGGCGGTGGTGTGCGGGCTTGATGAGAACCCCCTCACTGCTTGAGAGAGATGACAAAAACTATTGTGTATTTTCATTAGCGGGGTAAAGTCTTGGGAGGGAAGTTTGCATTATACACTTCAGCTTGTGTTCATATTAATAATCTGAGTTGGTGCCCAGGGGAGATGGCTTTGTCTAGTTGGTCCAGTTCTCTCAACAAAGTCCGGGAATATTCAAACCAACATGGTAGACGCTCCGCCTTCAATGGAACTCTGACGTATTGCAGTTTTTTTTTTTATATATATACATTATTTACGATGCCTTCAAAAATATTATCATAGAGGAGATTTTATTTTTTTATTTTATTTTTTTACTGTGACTCATAATTTCGGTAATATACAGTATATATATATATGTCCGTGTTTATTAATGACTTGTCCGTAGGTGTATGTACGTGATGTTCTATTGTGTTTGGGCTTCTTCTCTTCCACTTCTCCTCCTCCTCTCCTCCTCCTTCCTCTCCCCCACTCCCCACCTCCACACACACACACGGTGACATCCCCTATACCTCCTCCCCATCTCCCCATCAACTTCCAAAACTCTTCATCTCCCAACATACAAGTTTTTTTCAACATTTCTTGTCACACACACACACACACACACACACACACACACACACACACACACACAGTTCCGTACATGGATGATCACCTCTCACAACCCGTCCGTGTACGTGTCACCACTCTACTAACATAACAACCCCACACAACCCTCGAACACACACACACACACACACACACACACACACATGAAGGGCCTCTTCCCCACGCCACACACACGCCCATGATGCAGACCCACGCCAACACACGCCCATGATACAAACCCACGCCAGCACACACGCCCATGATACAGACCCACGCCAACACACGCCCATGATACAAACCCACGCCCATGATACACACCCAAGCCAGCACACGCCCATGATACAAATCCACGCCCATGATACAGACCCACGCCAGCACACGCCCATGATACAGACCCACGCCAGCACACGCCCATGATACAGACCCGCTAACACACGCCCGATACAGACCCACGCCAGCACACGCCCATGATACAGACCCACGCCAGCACACGCCCATGATACAGACCCACGCCAGCACACGCCCATGATACAGACCCACGCCAGCACACGCCCATGATACAGACCCAAGCCAACACACGCCCATGATACAGACCCACGCCAGCACACGCCCGATGATACAGACCCACGCCAGCACACGCCCATGATACAGACGCAGCCAACACACGCCCATGATACAGACCCACGCCAGCACACGCCGCAGATACAGACCCAAGCCAACACACGCCCATGATACAGACCCACGCCAGCACACGCCCATGATACAGACGCAAGCCAGCACACGCCCATGATACAGACCCACGCCAACACACGCCCATGATACAGACCCACGCCAGCACACGCCCATGATACAGACCCACGCCACACGCCCATGATACAGACCCACGCCAGCACACGCCAGCAGGGAAGACAGTGATAGCATCAGGCGGTGGAGACGTTCACAGGTACACGGTCGCTGCCTCTCCTCCAGTCGGCGAGTGAGTGACAGTATCGAGAGGCGGTCACTCAGAGTGTTACTGGCAGGTGGTCACTCAGAGTGTTACTGGCAGGTGGTCACCAGAGTGTTACTGGCAGGTGGTCACTCAGAGTGTTACTGGCAGGTGGTCACCAGTGTTACTGGCAGGTGGTCACTGAGTGTTACTGGCAGGTGGTCACTAAGAGTGTTACTGGCAGGTGGTCACTCAGAGTGTTACTGGCAGGTGGTCACTCAGTTTTACTGGAAAGGTGGTCACTCAAGAATGTTATTGGCAGGCGGTCCTCAAGAGTGTTATTGGCAGGTCACCAGGGGGTCACTCATTGTTACTGGCAGGTGGTCATTCACTGGCAGGCGGTCACTCGATGTTACTGGCAGGCGGTCACCAGAGTGTTACTGGCAGGTGGTCACTCAGCAGGGGTCCCATTGTTACTGGCAGGTAGTCACTCAGTACTGGCAGACGGTCACTCAGTGTTACTGGGAGACGGTCACTCAGTGTTACTGGGAGGCGGTCACTCAGGAGTGTTACTGGAGGTGGTCACCAGACGGCCCGTGTTATGGAGATGGTCACTCAGTGTTACTGGGAGGCGGTCACTCAGAGTGGGGAAAAGTAAGATAGTGGGGAGAGGAGGACTGAGGAGGAGTAAGAGGAGTGGGGAGGAGTAAGATGGTGGGGGAGGAGTAAGATGAGTGGGGAGGAGTAAGAGGAGTGGGGAGGAGTAAGAGGAGGGGAGGAGGAGGAGTGGGGGTAAGAGGAGGGGGAGGAGTAAGAGGGGGAGGAGAGGGGGGAGGAGAAGGGGAGGGGGTAAGGGGGGGAGGAGTAAGAGGAGGGGAGGGTAAGAGGAATGGGGAGGAGTAAGAGGAATGGGAGGGAGGGGAGGAGTAGAGAGTGGGGAGGAGTAAGAGGAGTGGGGGAGGAGTAAGAGGAGGGGAGGAGAGGAGTGGGGAGAGTAAGAGGAGGGGAGGAGTAAGAGGAGGGGAGGAGTAAGAGGAGTGGGGAGGAGTAAGAGGAATGGGGAGGAGTAAGAGGAATGGGGAGGAGTAAGAGTGGGGAGGAGTGAGGAGGAGTAGAGGAATGGGGATAGGTAAGAATAAAGTACCGAAAGAAGGGAGGGAGAGAGAGAGAGGGAGGGAGGAGGGAGGGAGGGGGAGGAGAGAAGGAGGAGGGAGAGAAGGAGGGAGGAGAAGGGAGGGAGGGAGGAGGGAGGAGGAGAGAGGGGAACTTAGACAATCATGAGCTTCGATTCATGTGTAAGTTTTATCTCAGTTCTTTTTCACGGATAATATTTTCTTTTAATATGAACCATAATACTTCTCTCTCTCTCTCTCTCTCTCATGTATGTATGTATGTATGTATGTATGTATATGTATGTGTGTATGTATGTATGTATGTATTATAATTCGTATGTTGTCCAAAGCTCTCAACAGATAGAGTGACTTTATGATTCACCCCGATGTGTACTGTAGGTGCATGTGGAGGAGGTGTTGCCTCACTTGCGGGCGGGGAAGAACGACACGCAAATATACCACCACTAGCACCATCACCACCACCATCACCACCACTGACACCATCACCACCACTGACACCATCACCACCAATATCACCACTACCACCACAACAGCCAGTACCTACATCACCCACAAGTAGATGCACCACCACCACCCCTACCCTCACCACCCCTCCCAAAGTACGCCGCTGACAGGGCCCTCAGACGTCGTGGCGGAGGGCTGTTTCCCTCCCCCCACCCACCCCCTCCCCCATCTATGTCGTGATCGTCAAATTCATATTTTTGAGTCTTGTTTTGCCAGAGTCCCCCCTGTCCCTCTCCCCCCACACGTTATGAAATATGAAAGTGCCCCTTCCTTCCTCTGTCTACCAAACACACGCATACCATTATGGCGGTCGGGAGTCAACCAGGTCCCAGTCACTAACCCACACCTGCTCTAGGGGGGGTCATTCTACCTCCCACACACACACACACACACCACACCTGCTCTAGGGGGTCATTCTACCTCCCTACACACACACACACACCTCCCCTAGTACTGTACCTGGCTGGACCATATACCTGTGTTTGTTTACCTACAGTACATTGCTCGTATACCTGCATTGTTTACCCCAGGAGTTAATGTGATCTGCTGTGATGATTTTACGGGATCATCTAATCTATCTATCTGTCTATCCATCTATCTATTCATCCATCTACCTATTCATCCATCTACCTATTCATCCACCTACCTATTCATCCATCTACCTATTCATCCATCTACCTATTCATCCAACCTACCTATTCATCCATCTATCTATCTATCTGTCACTGTCACCCTGGCCAGCTGGTGTCGACCCCTCAGACGACCCTTAGTGGCGAGGGAGTCAGAAAAACGACTTGGTGACGACTGCTTCTCCTTGACGACTTGTGGGCGATAGAGGGAGGGAGGGAGGGAGGGAGGAGGGAGGGAGGGAGGAGAGGAGGGAGGGAGGAGGGAAGGGAGGGAGGGAGGGAAGGAGGAGGAGGGAGGAGGGAGGGAGGGAGGGAGGGAGGGAGGGAGGGAGGAGGAAGGAGAATGAAAGTAAGAGAGAGAGGGGACGGAGGGAGGGAGCAGAGGAGAGGGGAGGGAGAGAGGAGGGAGGGAGAGGAGGAGGGAGGAGAGAGAGGGGAGGGAGGAGAGGAGCGAGGGATGGAGAGGGAGGGAGGGAGGGAGGGAGAGAGGAGGGAGGGAGGGAGGAGGGAGAGGAGGGAGAGAGAGATGAGGAAGGGAGAGAGGAGGGAGGGAGAGGGAGGGAGGGAGGAGACAGGGGGAGGAGGAAGGAGGGAGGAGGGAGGGAAGGGAGAGAGGAGAGAGAGGGAGGGAGAGGAGGGAGAGAGACAGGTGGGCTACACTATCACCTGGAACTATCACTTGCCAAACATTATTTCCGCTGCAGGTAAAAACATGATGCGGGTAGTCGCTAGGGTGTTGCACGACCCCTCTCACCACCTGTACGCGCCCTCACACTACCTGTACGACCTCTCACCACCTACACGACCCCTCTCACCACCTACATGACCCTCTCACCACCACGACCCCTCTCACCACCACCGGCCCTCTCACCACCTGTACGACCCCTCACACTACCTGTACGACCTCTCACCACCTACATGACCCCTCTCACCACCTACACGACCCCTCTCACCACCTGTACGACTCTTCACACTACCTGTACGACCTCTCACTACCTGCACGATCCCTCACCACCTGCGGCCCCTCTCACCACAACCCTCCAACCTCTCACCACCTGTACGACTCTTCACACTACCTGTACGACCTCTCACTACCTGCACGATCCCTCACCACCTACGACCTCTCACTGCCTGGCGTACTGCCGCCCATGTCCACACCCTGCCTGGTCTGCCGCCCATGTCCACACCCTGCCTGGTCTACTGCCACCCATGTCCACACCCTGCCTGGTCTACTGCCGCTATCCCACACCCTGCCTGGTCTACTGCCACCCATGTCACACCCTGCCTGGTCTACTGCCACCAATGTCCACACCCTGCCTGGTCTACTGCCACCCATGTCCACACCCTGCCTGGTCTACTGCCGCCCATGTCCACACCCTGCCTGGTCTACTGCCACCCATGTCCACACCCTGCCTGGTCTACTGCCGCCCATGTCCACCCTGCCTGGTCTACTGCCACCAATGTCCACACCCCTGCCTGGCCTACTGCCACCCATGTCCACACCCTGCCTGGTCTGCCGCCATGCACACCCTGCCGTCTACTCCGCCATGTCCACACCCTGCCTGGTCTACTGCCACCCATGTCCACACCCTGCCTGGCTACTGCCACCCATGTCCACACCCTGCCTGGTCTACTGCCGCCCATGTCTCACACCCCTGCCTGGTCTACTGCCGCCCATGTCCACACCTGCCTGGTCTACTGCCACCAATGTCCACACCCTGCCTGGTCTGCCACCATGTCCACACCTGCCTGGTCTGCCGCCCATGTCCACACCCTGCCTGGTCTACGCCGCCCATGTCCCACACCCTGCCTGGTCTACTGCCACCCATGTCACACCCTGCCTGGCCTACTGCCACCCATGTCCACACCCTGCCTGGTCTACTGCCGCCCATGTCCACACCCTGCCTGGTCTACTGCCACCCATGTCCACACCCTGCCTGGCCTACTGCCGCATGTCCATACCCTGCCTGGTTCTGCCACCCATGTCCGCACCCTGCCTGGCCTACTGCCGCCCATGTCCGCACCCTGCCTGGCCTACTGCCACCCATGTCCACACCCTGCCTGGTCTACTGCCGCCCATGTCCACACCCCTGCCTGGTCTGCCGCCCATGTCCACACCTGCCTGGCCTACTGCCACCCATGTCCACACCCTGCCTGGTCTACTGCCGCCCATGTCCACACCCTGCCTGGTCTACTGCCACCCATGTCCGCACCCTGCCTGGCCTACTGCCGCCCATGTCAGCACCCTGCCTGGCCTACTGCCACCCATGTCCACACCCTGCCTGGTCTACTGCCGCCCATGTCCACACCTGCTGGTCTGCGCCCATGTCCACACCCTGCCTGGCCTACTGCCGCCCATGTCCACACCCTGCCTGTCTACTGCCGCCCATGTCCACACCCTGCCTGGCCTACTGCCACCCATGTCCACACCCTGCCTGGCCTACTGCCGCCCATGTCCACACCCTGCCTGGTCTGCCGCCCATGTCCACACCCTGCCTGGTCTACTGCCGCCCATGTCCACACCCTGCCTGGTCTACTGCCGCCCATGTCCACACCCTCCCTGGCCTACTGCCACCCATGTCCACACCCTGCCTGGCTCTACTGCCGCCCATGTCCACACCTGCCTGGTCTACTGCCGCCCATGTCCACACCCTGCCTGGCCTACTGCCGCCCATGTCCACACCCTGCCTGGCCCACTGCCACCCATGTCCACACCCCTGCCTGGTCTACTGCCGCCCATGTCCACACCTGCCTGGCCTACTGCCACCCATGTCCACACCCCTGACTGGTCTACTGCCGCCCATGTCCACACCCTGCCTGGCCTACTGCCGCCCATGGCCACACCCCTGCCTGGTCTACTGCCACCCATGGCCACACCCTGCCTGGTCTACTGCCACCCATGGCCACACCCTGCCTGGTTCTACTGCCACCCATGGCCACACCCTGCCTGGTTCTACTGCCACCATGGCCACACCCTGCCTGGTCTACTGCCGCCCATGTCCTCACCCTGCCTGGTCTACTGCCGCCCATGTCCACACACCTTGCCTAGCCTACTGCCGCCCATGGCTAAACCTTTCCGGCGTACTGCCGCCCATGGCTGAACCCTGCCTGGCGTACTGCTCGCCCATGGCTGCCTTGCCTGGCGTACTGCCGCCCATGGCTGAACCTGCCTGGCGTACTGCCGCCCATGGCTGAACCTTGCCTGGCGTACTGCCCATGGCTGAACCTTGCCTGGCGTACTGCCGCCCATGGCTGAAACTTGCCTGGCGTACTGCCGCCCATAGGCTAAACCTTGCCTGGCGTACTGCCGCCCATGGCTAAACCTTGCCTGGCGTACTGCCGCCCATATACCACACCCTACCTAGTCTACTGCCGCCCACACCCTGCCTGGCGTACTGCCGCCCACGTCTTGAGGCCTTAATTAACACTACAGTAACGGCCTCAGTAAGCAACTCCCACAGCGCGGTAGCAGGAGGAGGCAGGTGGAGCAGCCCAGCTGTTGACGTCCAGGTGCTACCCTGAAACAAAGCTTCCTCCTTCACTCACCCCTCACTTACCCTCCCTCTCCCCACGCCACTCCACTTCCCTCAACCCCTCTAGTACTCCCTTCTTTCACTCACCTCTCCTCTCCATACACACTCTCTCTCTCTCATCACTATTCCATTATCCAACAGCTAGTAAATCTGCAACACACACAGACAAACACACACACACACACACACACACACACACACACACACACACACACACACACACACACCACACACACACACACACACACACACAGACAGACAAACACGTGAATAATATACTTCTTGTCCTCTCACTCTGTCCCTTCTCCGTTCCTCTCTCTCTTCCTTCTTCCTTCACAACACCCATTCCAGTAATCGTAGTAGTTGGATGTTGTTGTTGTTGTAGCAGTATAAAAACACACACACACACACACACACACACACACACACACACACACACACACACACACACACACACACAGGAAGTTGAGTAAATATTCAAATTCTATTAAAAACTTTATATAGACAATGTTATCAGATGTTCTAGATAGTAAACAACAGTTAGATAGCTTTAGATAGCTTAATATAGCTTAATATAGCTTGATTGCTTGGCAGGAGAGTTGTGCTAGAGACACATTATGCTAAGTGACCAAGCCCTCCCTTCTGCCTATTTCCACCTAACCTAACCTAAGCTAAGTTAACCTAACCTACCTAACCTAAGCTAGGTTAACCTAACTCAACCTAAGCTAAGTTAACCTAACCTAATAAAAGCTAAGTTAACCTAACCTAATCTAAGCTGTTAACTAACCTAACCTAAGAGAGAGAGGTGATAACTGTAAGGGGATATGGAGGGAAGGAGGGAAGGAAGAGAAGGAGGAAGGAATAGAAATAGGGAAGTAGGGAAGGGAAGAGGAGGGAAGAAAAGAAGGAAGGAAGGAAGGAGGGAGAAGAAGAAGAGAAGGAGGGAGGAAGGAAGAGGGAGGGAAGGAGGTTAAGGATCAGGGGAAGTTGGGAGGGAATGAAAGAGGGAAGGAGGGAAGGAAGAGGAGGAAGGAAGAGAAGGAAGAGAAGGAGGTTAAGGACAGGAAGTTGGGAGGGAATGAAAGAGGGAGAGAAGGTAGAAAGGAGAAGACTGGAAAGGAAGAGAATGGAGGGAGGGGAGGACAGGAGAGGAACGGAACAGAAAGAAGGAGGGAGAGGTTGCAAGGAGAAGGGATGGGATGGTGTACGGAAGGAGACGGAAGGGAGACGGGAGGAGAAAGCAACATGTAACTGAACGAAGTATTACTG